GTTTTCTTACATCAGAAGTAGGGATTCGCTCACTAAAAGTACCACGAAAGAATTTTTGTGTTAAATTTTTAAGTTAATTAAAGATGAAACAGCTAAAAGTGTAGTGTCAACTTCAGTTCGGTTTCAATGGTGGAAATTCCGAGGGAAATTCAATCTTCGAGATGACGATACATCATCAAGCAAAATGTTTTGAAGAAATCGAAAAAATTGGGGAATACTTTTAACTGGCTTTATTGGCAAAACGAAGAAATGGTATTTGACGTGGAAACTATTGGAGAAAAGCTACCTAAAAGATTTAAAGTTCAAGATATCTAGCATTTATTTACCTCAACGCAACCTAAGTGAAAAACTACGCAAAGCTAATATTACACGAGCCACAACGTTGACTACAGAGGTTGATTATTACTGTGAGTATTAACAAAATGGAGGTTTTTTTTATTAATACGTGAATTTTATGTTAAATAATTATTTGAGATTGTTATTGGCCATATATTAGCGAATGTTTATTTTCATAAATTCGTTAAATTTACCAGTTAATTGTTTTAGATTATTATTGGCCATATTAGCGAATGTTTCTTTTATTAATTTGTTAAATTAATCAGTTGATTAATTGTTTGAAATTGTTATTGGCCATATTAGCGAATGTTTTTATAATTCGTTAAAATTATGAGTTAATTAATTGTTTGAGATTGTTATTGGCCGTAAGTTTTTATATTACTTCGTTAAATTTATCAGTTGATTAATTTTTGGAGATTGTTATTGGTGATATTAATTTTAAAATGGCCTATTTAAAATTGTAAAATAGATTCAGTCAGCGATTAAACTGTTTTTAAGTAGTTATAAAAGGTCCACCACAGTAAAACCTTTAGGTTTTAGATTTTAAAGATAACTCCAAACTGGAGAGAAATGTAGCATTGCTAAAACTTTCAATTTTAATAAAGAGAGCAAGCTGTGATAACGTTAAAAGGTGTACGCCACGTAATTTTTAAAAATAGTAATATGATATTACGAAATGAATGCAATGGTATTGGTTTCGAATTTCGTGTTTTTATATTGTGAACAGTTCAGCAATGATCCACTACGCTATTTTGGACAAATCGTGCCTTTATTTGCAGTAGTTTAAATTAATATTATCTCTATCAATAACTGGCAACGAAAAGCTTAGAAACAATACGCCGAGATTTATGAAAAACTCAGAGATGGTAAATTAAACAAAGAACATTTTTGTTAAAAAAAAATATTGTCTTTAGAAAAATAAATACTGCGCAAAATCTTTTGTTCCTAAGTGTTAATAAAACTTTCGCTTAAGCTCGGAAATTATTTTAATTTTGGTCCTTACAAATGGAAAAATTTTTGACAAAAATACTGCGACCAATGTTCAAAATATGTTATTACTAGTAAAACCTAACCTATTTTAAACACTTCACGATGATTGCATAGGTTCCTTTCCGATATCCAATGATTATTTTCAACATTTACTATTTTTTTAATAGAAATTACGAAATTTTTATTTTTGATACCCCTTAAATGTATAAAGGCACTGATTTAAATTTATTGTGAATTAGTTGGTTAGTCAGAATAGCCGAACTTTTATTTTAAACCTACGAAGAAAAATAAAATAATACTGTCAAAAAAAAACTACGGGTTTTTCTTATTTATTTTTTTGGCCGGCCTGAAAACTTAACTGAATCTATTCAATATTTCAGCGATCATAATTTTTTTTTAAATCAT